CTTCTTTGGTCTCGAATAAAGCTTGTGATGTTTGCTGTCGGGCAAAGCAATCTCGTGCTAGCTTTCCTCTTAGTCGCAGCATTAGCAGTTCCATTTTCAGTTTGATTCATTGTGATGTGTGGGGACCTTATAGAGTTCCTTCCTTTAGTGGTGCTCGATACTTTTTGACTATTGTTGACGACTAATCTCGAGGTACTTGGATTTTCTTGTTGGATGACAAATCTTCGGTGTCTTCTACTCTACTGCAATTTTTTGCTTTTATAAAAAGGCAATTTGGCGTGTTGGTTAAAACTCTTCGCAGTGACAATGGGACTGAATTTACTCGTATGCGCGATTATTTTCGTCAACAAAGGATTGTTCATGAAACTTCTTGTGTTGGAACTCCTCAACAAAATGGACGTGCTGAGCGCAAACATCAGCACATTCTTAATGTTGCTCGAGCATTACGCTTTCAGCCCAATTTACCGATTGAGTTCTGGGGACATTGTGTACTTTCTGCTGGCTATTTGATTAATCGAACGCCTACTCCTCTTTTATCTGGCAAGACTCCCTATGAACTTTTGTATGGCAAACCTCCCAACTATGCGCATTTACGTGTTTCTGGCTGTCTGTGTTACGTGCACAATCAGAACAGGGATGGAGACAAGTTTGGAAGTCGGAGTCATCGATGTGTTTTTGTTGGCTATTCATCTGGCCAAAAGGGGTGGTGTGTTTGTGAATCAGAGTTCCCTTATTTGACGTCTCCTGCTCTTGATACTGACTCCGTACCCGTGGTTCTATGGTCTGCTGTCTCTAACGACGACGATGATGTGGTGGTTCCCACTACCACGCGTACTGCTGCCACTGGGGGTTCTGAGGTCATTGTCGATAGGGAGGGTAATCCTTCCCAAGAGGAAGTGTTGGGTCGTGGTCATCGTCTCAAGAGACCATCTTCTCATCTTGCCGACTTTGTCTCTCATATTATTTGTTCCTCGTCCCCCCACTCTGCCTCCCCTATCGCATCATCATCTGGTACTCCTTACCCTCTCGCACACTATGTTTCTTGTGATTCATTTTCACCTGCACACCAGTCATTTCTGGCAGCCATTTCTTCTGTTGGTAAGCCTCGGACCTTTTCCGAGGCTATTCGAGATAGTCGCTGGCGTTCAACTATGCAACTGGAGATTCGAGCATTGGAATCGAACCGTACGTGGGATATTGTTTCTCTTCCTACTGGGAAACACGCGATTGGTTGCAAGTGGATTTATAAGATTAAATATAACTCTGATGGTTCTGTTGAGCGCTACAAGGCGCGTTGGTTGTCTTCGGTAATCGACAGGTGGAGGGCATTGACTATCAGGAGACATTTGCACCTGTTGCCAAGATGGTTACTGTACGAACTTTTCTTGCTGTTGCAGCTGCTCGACATTGAGAGGTTCATCAGATGGACGTGCACAATGCGTTCTTGCATGGAGATCTATCTGAGGAGGTCTACATGAAACTTCCTCCTGGTTTTCATTCGCCTGATCCTGGTAAGATGTGTCGATTACGCCGATCTTTGTATGGTTTAAAAAGCAAGCTCCTCGTTGTTGGTTTGCAAAGCTTGCTACTGCTCTTAAACATTGGTTTTGAGCAGTCTTATTCTGATTACTCCCTTTTCACACTACATCGAGATTCTATGTACTTGCATGTCCTAGTTTATGTCGATGATCTCATCATTTCTGGAAGCGATCCGGCTTCTATTACTGCCTTTAAGAAGTACTTGGGTCGTTGTTTTCATATGAAGGATTTTGGAGTCCTGAAATATTTTTTAGGCATTGAGGTTGCTCGGAATTCCTCTAGCTTATTTCTGTGTCAGCGGAAATACACTCTTGACATAGTTGCCGAAGCTGGTTTGCTTGGTGGTAAGCCTGCTGATTTTTCTATGGAGCAGAATCACCAGCTTCCATTGGACGATGGTCCGTTGTTTTCTGATCCTGAGCGATATCGACGACTAGTGGGCCGTTTGATTTATTTAGTTGTCACTCGTCCTGATTTATCTTATGCTGTACACATGCTCTCTCAGTTTATGCATCAACCTCGTCAGGCACACTGGGATGCTGCCACTCGTGTGGTACTTTATTTGAAGGGTACTCCGGGCCAGGGTATTCTTCTTCGGTCTGATTGTGACTTCTATGGTTGGTGTGACTCCGATTGGGCAACATGCCCTACTACTCGACGGTCTCTCACTGGTTGGTTCGTCCAACTTGGCCTTTCTCCAACATCATGGCGTACTAAAAAGCAGCATACGGTTGCTCGCTCTTCTGCCGAGGCTGAATATCGTGCTATGGCGACGCTTACTTGCGAGTTGAAATGGTTACGGGGTTTACTTCGCAGTCTTGGTGCGGCTCATTCTCAGCCGATGCGGATTCATTGTGACAGTCAAGCGGCGCTACATATTGCCGCTAATCCTGTCTTTCATGAGTGCACCAAACACATTGAAGTTGACTGACATTTTCTTCGTGATGCTCTCGTTCAAGGTCTCATTTCTACCTCTCATGTTTCCACTCATTCTCAATTGGCGGACATCTTCACCAAAGCTTTGGGAAAACGCGAGTTTGATTTTTTTCTTGGCAAGTTGGGCATCTGGAATCCGCATGCTCCAACTTGAGGGGTGGTGTTAGAGTGATTTTATGAATATTGTATTTTTGGTATAGATAGATTTTGGTATCTTAGAGATTTAGTCAATATTATTTTAGGGCTTCTCTTTTATCTATATATTGGGGCTCTGGTAAATCTACATGATAAGGTTTTTGAGTGAAACGAATTGTTTTTCGCATATTTGTCACATTCGATAATTATCATTTTCTTATTATTTAAATAAAATGACAATGTTGTGCTCTAGATCTTCTTGATTTGGACATCCGCCGTAAGAATGTGCACAAATAACCTGCATAACGCGTCAAGGGAGAGAAGGGTTCCTGACGTAGATACTATAACGTTCAAGTTAGACCTCATGTATATTAGTATAATTCCAAAGTATTCAGAGAGTATTTCACTTGAGAGGATCAATTTATATAGGATTAAATATACTTTTCACAATTTCTAGATTTTTTTATCCAACGATATTNTTTCGTTTTGATTTTTTCCTACATTGCGGTGCGATGAGATTATGGTTTTTCCATAAGTTTGGCTTTTAGTTTAATTCGATTCCGTACTGTTTTACACCGAATTGCACCAAATTGAATAAATACGATTATTTTTTTTGCTAGTTTTTTTTTTACAGTTCAATGCGGTTTTCACCGAACTACACTGTTGCTCGCCCCTACTTACATCCACAATCCTTTTCAGCTTGAGCGTGGTCAGGTCATCCTTGAACCCTAGTTCGAATTGAACATTGCAATTTTGTAGCTCGAGCATGGTCAGGTCATCATTGAACCCTAGATCGGACTGAACGCCACCCACTCTCTCCAGTTTAAGCATTGCCAGATCATTCTTGAACCTTATCTCGAGATAAACACCTATTCTCTTACCAAATTCAATCTAAGTGTCATCTCCATCTCGTCATCCCAAAATATATAGTTGTTACTAGGGGTGAGCATAGGTCGGTATATTTCAGAAATTGAGAAATTTACAGAACCATACCGAAATTCGGAAATCACTAAAATTCAATATCCAGAATCATACCAATAGTCGAGACGGTTCTGTTTAGATACTTTTATTTATTTGTTCAATTCGGTTCGAGATTCAGGATTGTCAGAATGGTTCGAGTTTGGTTTGGTTCGGAGCTCTGAAGATTTCTAAATTGTTTTTAATGACCATCTAGTTTTATTTAAATTTAATATGATATAAAAAAAATCAACATTCATCAATACTTCACAATATTAAGATTTTTCATTTAAACCAACTTTATAAGTAACTCGGAATTTTAATTAAGAGTAAATTTGTGCAACTAATGATGAAATTTTGAAACTCAAACATTATATATATATATTTCAAAAAAATTGTTTAACTTTTCATACCAATTTAATTATAAGATAGAATAAGACCAATAAAAGTAGCAACAAACATAATATAAATAATTTTTTAAAACAAAAAAAAGTCCAATTGTAGATCAAATATTATTAAGAAAAAATTTAAGTGAAATTTAATTGTCGTTGTTATATCTTATTTAGTATTTTAATAATACTAAAATTCTATGGCATTAACGTTGACATAAATATATCAACAACTGACGTCTAATATTATAATTCGATTTTTAAGTTTAATTTTTGATTCGATACAGTTTGGGATGGTCGGTCTGGTTCCTTGAACATATTTTTGTGAAATCTCAAGACTCATACTAATTATTTTTCAGTTCGGTTTGATTCGAGAAAAGTCAAACGATCAATGATTATTAATCAATTCGAAGCGATTTCTGTTCAATTTTTAGAAATAATTCAAAATTGTTCAAGTCTCATTCTCAACCCTAGTTGTTTCCATTGGCCGATATAGCGAGCTATAATAATGATGATTTTAAGAATTTTATCAAGTCATTTGTGACCTAAGAATCACCTCACTTTGTTTAATGTTTACCCTCCTACACTATATATAGTTTCTTACCTACCACAGTATAGGATATTTCGACTCTCACATTTATTGTTGAATTCGATCCATGGCCACAGTATAACATATTTTAAGCCACCATTTAATTAAGCACCAAATAGTTCTTTACTTACTTTTAAGTGTCAACTCACATGGCGTGCATCTTATAATTGACTAATGATCCACAGAATTTCACAGTGAAGCGTCATTGACATAAAAATAAATTGAATAAAGGACAGGGACCAAGAAAAGTATACAAATATTTAAAAAGAAAAAAGAAAAATAAAAATCTCTCTTCTAGAAATCATATTAAAAAATGTGCGTCTACATTATTATGTTTTAAATACCGGTAAGCCAATAATTTGTGTTATTGAATACAAATAATTTAACTGATACAGTAACTCTTTGAATATAATTTTCTAAAATATAATTTTCTCTAAAATAATAGTAGTTTATACCTATGTAATACGGGCAAGCTAAAATACTAAATTATACTATTTTTATATTTTTTATCAAGTATTTTTACCCAAATTAAAATTTTTTTACTTAATTCTAATATGTTTACATTTTATTTAATTTTGAAAGTTAATTTATACATTATTTATGAAAGATATATTTTGGCATGAGTTCAAAATTTAAAAGAGTTCCTGCCATGCATAAATAAGGGAAGTTTTTGTTTCCTAAATTAGTTTCCATTATGTTTTGACCTTAACATATATTTACGTGTTATAGGATGTTGCTGATATGGAAAGGGGACATCGTGCGGAGAAGATCACGAAAGAAAAGGAGGAGATTGGATAAGTATGGCAAGTGAAGATGTGGAGAGAGAAGGAGAGTCCTTTACATGGTAGGACTTGGAGAAAATGCCGTATAGAGACCAAGAATTAAGGGAGTCCAATGTGATGATATAAAAAGCCGATCTTGAAGATTGAAGGCGGCTGCTGAAGCTAGGGCAATTATCCATCACCTTCAAGCTTCAAGTTTATTGCTTAGCTTTCTTTTATTTTTGCTTCGAGTTCTCAATTGAATTGTTCATTGAGGAACTTAGATTATTTTGATTTGGTTGTATTCTTTTCATTCTGATTAAAACACTTTCGAATAGTTACACTTAGGGAGTAAGTGTGAGTAAACAAGTCCACGGGATGTGGCCAGAGAATTAGTTGGTAGGCTAGTTCATAGTTGTGGCTAGAATAGAAGGGAGTTCTATTGTATAAGTCCAAACTATGTTTTTGATAGCTATCAATGAAAGAGCTCTGAGGGGAAGTGGGATGCTTCCCTAAAGAGTTTTTAAATCTTTGGTTATAGTTTCCGCAAATCTCAATTTTCATACTTGTTTGTTCAACGTTGAGCGCACTCGGTATTATTTTATACGTTTCAATTTATATAATAGCAATAAATATAATTAGTATTTATTAATCTAATAAAATAAATAATAAAATCAGCAGAATTGATCCGCATACCAGTCGCGTTGCCATTATAAGACTTTTGACCACATCATCTCCTACCTTTGAACACGACACCTTATTATAACGCCACGCACCATTTTCAAAGTCCTCGAAATATTGTCAATAAAGAAAAAGGAAAGAAAAGAAAAACAAAAAAAACAAAGCCCTCGAAAAACCCCGCCGCCATGACCACTACCACCACCACCACCTCCCTCGAAAGCTGCCTCGTTCCGCCTCCGGCCGGCGGCCCCGCCACCGTATCCGTACCCCTCTCCTTCCTCGACATCCTCTGGCTCTTCTTCCAACACCCCATCCGCCGCCTTTTCTTCTACCGTCACCCAATCTCCGAATCCATTTTCCTCGAAACCCTCGTCCCCAACCTCAAAAACTCCCTCTCACTAACCCTCGGACACTTCCTTCCCTTGTCCGGCCACCTCCTCTACCCCAAAAACACGGACCAAGAAAAGCCCTTTTTCCGCTACTCCGCCGGCGACTCCGTCCCGCTCACGGTCGCCGTCTCCGTCGAAGATTTCGACGACCTCATAGGAAACCACCCCCGAGACGCCGATAGATTTTACGATTTTGTCCCGGAGATGCCACCTGTGCAAGAAGAAGACAATTACAAGCTCTTTCCCCTGTTAACCCTGAAAGTTACCCTGTTTCCCGGCCGCGGCATATGCATCGGCGTGGCCAACAGCCACGTCGCCGGCGACGCCAGCTCGATTTTCCGGTTCATAAAGACGTGGTCGACAATCTCCACCCACATTGATTCCGATTACAGCTCATATTTGCCGGTTTTCGACCGATCTTTTATCAAAGACACGATCGGAATCGACTCGATTTTCTGGGAGGTTCTGCGTAAGTTCCCGGTCAACCCGTCACCTTTCCCCTTGCCAACAAACCGGGTCCGGGCCACATACACCCTGACCCGAACCCATATAGAGATGCTCAAGGACTTGGTTCGGGCCAAGAAGCCGGACCTAGCCCGAACCTCGTCGTTCGTGGCCTCAATGTCGTACATTTGGACTTGTCTCGTGAAATCCGGCATTGAAGTCGGAGAAAAAAAACCGGATAAGGACGTGCCCGAGTTGTTCATGTTCCCGGTGGATGCAAGGGCGCGGGTCGACCCGCCCGTGCCCGAGAACTACTTCGGAAACTGCCTAGGGTTTGGGATGGGGAAAATCGAGCACGGACGGTTGACTGGTGATGAGGGTTTGGCAACGGCCGTCGAGGCCATATCCGAGGATATCAAGAATCGGGTGAATAAGAAGAATGAGATATGGAAAGGTGCGGAGAATTGGATGTCGAATTTGGGGAACTTTGGGGAGATGAGGTTTATGGGGGTTTCGGGTTCGCCTAGGTTCGATTTGTACGGTGTGGATTTCGGGTGGGGGAGCGCGGCCAAGGTGGAGGTGGCGTCGATCGACGGGGAGTGTTATTCGGTGTCCTTGTGTAGGTCGTGTGGTTCGGACGGAGGTTTGGAGGTCGGCTTGTCTTTGCCCAAGGAGAGGATGGAGGCTTTTGGTGCTATATTCGACGATGGGCTAAGAGTTTGAGTTTTTCCTTTTTTGGGGGGTTGCTATGTTGATTTGCATTTCTTCTTGTTTGATGTACCGTTTTCCCTTATTCCGTATGATTGCAATTTCAAGTTTCTTCGTTTGAGCTGTAGTGTGCTTGAGCTCGAGCTAAGATGATTGTCTGTTAGGGTGCTCGAGCTCGACTTGGGTAAATTAAACGCATAGGTACGGTTAGCTGGGTGGGCCCGCCGGACGGAGGCAAACCCGAGAGGTTTCGATTATGGCTGTATGTGGAAGTCATGAAGCTCTCCAACTCGACAAATATGTTTATTTGCTGTATTCATTTCCTTTTAGGATGGTGCATGCAATGAAGTTCACCAAGTGTGGGCAACAATCCTTAAAGTCATGGCTATGTTTGTAAAAGAATAAACTCAATTCAAATCCATGCTCAAAATCTAAATGAAGTTTAATTCAATTTTACTATCTTCAATATTATCAATATAATTAAATAATAACAACCAATCATTTTTACACATCATATCAACTTTAAATCACTATTTATTTACTCACATAATTTTAATTAACTATCATTTCATATCATCTTTCTCTTACTTTTACCTCAAATTAATTTTGATTATTTTATTTTAAATGTTATTTTATTATTAACTCAAAATTCCAATAACAACTAACTATACCACTTTTTTTAAATTAAACCTTAATTATTAAAAAAAAAAACTCATTTGGGAAGAGTCGGTTAAGAGAGACCTTATAGATTGGAATATCTCCAAAGATCTAGCGGTGGATAGGAGCGCTTGGAGGCTCGCTATCAACGTGCCAGAGCCGTGACTTTTGCTCCTTTCTCTCTCTCTCTCGTTTTTTTTTTTTTTTCGATTTCTTCCTTTCGGTTCGAATCTTTTTGTGTTTCTCTTGGGTTTCATCTCTAGCCTACCCCGACTTGCTTGGGACTAAAAGCTATGTTGTTGTTGTTGTTGTTTGAACTAATTTGAGTGAATTTATTCTTTTACAAGTCCACTATCATTATATTATTGTATAATCTTATCATGGAATATGACAAACACTAAGCAGAAACCAGTATCATGATCAATAATGCAAAGATAAAATAATATAAATTTTGGCACAAGATTCCAGTATCAATACCGGGCAAACGAGAAAGATCCGGCTCGTCTACTTGTCTTTATTCGATCAGGAAAACAGAAAACATAGGAAAAAGACAATTAATATACTTTTCGTGGATTTTGAATATGATAGGGAAAACTAATTATAAATATGAAAATTATTAACGAACCCAAATAGCTAGCGTTCTTGTTTTTGGGGTGTGTGCAAGAATATGAATTAAGAAATGAAAAAAAAAATGATAAAAAGAATCAAAGTCGAGAGACGTAACATACGCTCTACTTAAGATGAAATAATCTCGTATACGATCAGCTAGCTTTGAAGATCCCTCTTTTAACCGAGCCGTAGAAACACAATTTCTTAGCCATTCAACTTCTTCCTCGACTTTTTTCAAAGCTATAAACTCGAACTCCATCGTAAATCTAGCAATACACATTTGCTTAGAGATTTCCAACACTTTCCTCCATCATATAGTTCATGCTTCATACAATTAGCAAAACCAAGTCCAAAACACAATCATCATCAGATCACACAACGGAAAAACAATACCATAACTCAATACCAACAAAACAAAACACATATTCCAACATTATTCATCAGCAAAACCAAAACCAAAACCAAAAGGAAACAGAAGAACACACTTTAAAGCGGGGACACAGTAGACAGACCAAAACCAAAACCCAAACCAAATCTTCTTGAACTCCCATTAATTCCCTTAGCAAATATAGCACCAAAAGCTTCCATTCTATCCCTTGGCAATGACAGACCAATCTCCAGCCCTCCATTCGAAACCATCGACTCGCACAACGACATCGAATACATTTCCCCGTCGCATCGACACAACCTCAAACTTTCTCGCCTTTCCCCATCCAAAATCGGCATCCGAAAAGCTGAATTTGATGAGTGGAAACACCGATGCATATACCTCGGTCGGGAAACAAAGTCACTTTCACGGCTAAAGTCGGGATTATTTTCCGATCGAGCCCTTTTTTGACCGGTGGCGCCACATCAGCAACAAAATCGTAGAATCGATCGGCGTCTCAAGCGTGATTCGCGACGAGCTCGTCGAAATCTTGTCTCGACAAGGCAGCCGTGAATGAAACCGAGTCTCCCACCACGTAACGAATAATGGGTTTTGTTGTTGTCGGTTATAGGGTAGACCAAATGGCCCGATAACGGGAGATAGTGTTGGAGAGTGATCGTTTGAAATTCGGGACGAGGCTTTCGGAGAAGTAGCTAGGTTTCGGAAAAGGGTGCTCGTAAAAGAGAAGGTTTCGCATGGAATGGAAGTGGACCCATTGGATGTCCAAGAATGTGAGGGGCACGAATAGCTCGGTGGGCCCGCCTGGCGGAGGCGAAACATGAGAGGTTGCGACTTGCGAGTATGGCTGTCATGGAGGATGGGGAAACCTTCAAGCTCTGCAACTCAACTAATATGATGAGCAAAGTATAAATAAGCAATAATGCAACGGAGATAATATAAATTTAAAATATTTGCGTCCTAAACAAGAAATTGCAAGAAAATAACACTACTGTTTCCATGGATTATGACTATGAAATTAGGTAAAATTGATTATTATATATTGGGTAAGACTACAATCCCGTTACGGAATCATTCCGTTGGGATTTGTAACCGTTAGATCATATGATAGTTGATCTAACGATTACAAATCCCAACGGAATGGTTCCATAACGGGATTGTAGCATTTTCCATTATATATGTACAAAATTATTAACAAAGCCAACTACCTAACGTTCGTGTATTTTGACCGCGCGTCGCAACGCGGCAAATATAAAATTTATATTTTCCTAAACTAACCTCTACTAACCAGTAGTAGTGACGAGTAAGAGTCGATCCCACGAGGAGCAAGAATTAAATTGTGACAGTTTTCGAATTAATTGAATTAAACTATGAAAGCAAATAAAGACGGGGGATTAGTTTTATAAAAATAATAAAATAAAAATTAAATTAAATAAGAGAATTCCAATTTTCGGTTCAGTTATCACCCAATCTAAATCTACCGTTAATTAATTTCGACGTCTTCTTTAAATTGCTAATAAATTACCAATCCTAGCTAACAACAAGCTCTGTTAATCGAATTTTTCCTTACCGAATATTTAATCGAAATAAGCTCTTCGACTAAACCTAACTAGTGGACAACCTAGAATAAGCTCTCTAAATTTAGTACACTAGCAGCATTAATTCCTAGAAAAATAGATCAGTTTAAGCAATGGACGCAAAAGCTCGGACCATTTAACTTATGCTCATGTTACCCTAGAGATGCACGACCCCTAGTTTACTACTAACGAAACGAGACAATAACAATTACGGATTAAAGTCCCGAATCTAGCAATAAAATCATGGATATTCAAACTAGCTGGCCAAACTAAATCAAACACTCATAATTCATAAACATTCGACACAGATAGCATGAATCAACTCATCAACAAAAATAAATACGGTGTCTCGATTAATCAACGATAAGACATAGATCATTCAATTCATAGACAAATCGAAATTATGGTTCCAACATCCCCTTAAACTGGATAAAAATCCTAGCCTAACATACTAATAGAAATAAATAAATAAAGATGAAAGAGAGATAAAGATCTCCCTCGTGTACGAGGGCGGCTTCCCTCCGTGTGTGTAGTCTTTTCTCTTCCGCGTGCGTGTTTGGCTCTGTCTGCGTCTCTTTCTTTTCTCTTCTGTCAACTGCTTTCTTTTTCCCTGGCGTCCGTTCTCTTCTGTTGCTGCGTGCATGTGTGGGTTTTTGAGTCTCGCCAATCAAAATGCTTGTCCCACAGTTATCCTTCCAAATTATATGACTTGCTGCGTGGCTCACTTAGGAAAATTAATTTCCAAACATTAACAAATCTTCCTCAAGTCCACAAATGTCCAGGCCTTGCGGTGTGTTTTGATTTCATTTAAATTCTTGTGGGCTTTAATTAGTCTGGTGGGCCCAACAATGACTCGTGTGAACTCACGTCCATTTATTCGAATCCACAAAATACTCTAAAATCCTAAAAATTAAATATAAAAATATCAATGTATATGAATCCATTCAAATAATAAATAAGTCAAAAAAATATAAATGCGCGAATAAATTAAACGTATAAAAATACACTATTAAACATATAAAACATGCACATTTCTCGACTTATCATATTTAATTTTTGTTTGGTAAGAGTTGGCAAATGTTTGTCCTTTCATACCAAAATAAACGAAAAGTCAGTACTCCCTCTTATTTTTTCCTATTTTTAATAAGTGTCATTTTGAGAAGTTGTACAATAATTAATTTTTTTTTTGTCAATAATAACCCTCATTAATAAGGATAAAGATGGATGTTTTGAGAAAAGATGAAGAGTGAATATGAAAAGACGTAGTGTATTTATTAGTTAGATGAGGATAATAATGGAAAAATATGTACAAAATATCCAAAACATCATTTGTTTAGTTAATTCTTGATAAGGCCAAAATAACATTTAAAAAAAATAGGAGGTAATATTATATTTGAGTGTTAGTCAAATATAAAATAACAAAATTTGATATGACTTGAAACAGTTTATTTTGCATGAGACATTGTTTGTAATTTTAATGAGTGCAACAGTTGGAGGTCATTTTTTGGGCTAATTGGGGTTTGGTGGTCTTTGGCAGCAAACACGGGTGGGCATCTAATAGAAGACCAACTTTGACGTTTTGGTATTTTTTTTTATTTTTTTTTTGGCTGCGGGCTCTTTCTGGAAATATTTGAATGTGATGCTTATAGCTTTTTGTTGTTGGTTTCTTTCTTATATTTTGGGGTTGTACAGAACAGAGCTTGTAACTGATGTCTTCTTTATTCCTCTCTCTAACTTTTTTCCAGGTCTTTTGTCTTTGAGCTTGGGGGCCTGTGTGCATGCTCAGTTGGTTAAATTTATAGACAAATTAATGTTGTGATTCAAACATCTTCTCAAAATAAATTAACATAACTCATGATAAGGTAAATGTCTCGTAACTCCGAATTGAAATGGAAGATACCGGTCTGAAGTTGTTTTTCTTCATCCCGACTCCGAGTCAACCTAACTCGTTGGCCGGAAAATTTGAAAAGGCGCCGGGGGATCTTCCTGGCGTAAATGCTCTGATGCTTTGACGATCAAGTTAGTTTTTTGGACAGGGAGATACACAGTTGATAAAGTGAATTGGTAGTAATGAATTGTAATATCTGCAGGTCCAATTCACATCATGCAATTTTTGGTTTTACTTGAGTAACCAACTATATATAACTAATAGCTTCCAGGGTTGGACCTTAGAATGGACTAATGTCAAGCTTCCTAATATCGGCCTCTAATTCTCATTTAATTATTCGTCATCCATGACATTAATCCACAATGACAATAATTAGAGGGTATAAGCAACTAAGAGCTTGTCTATCTTGGATTGCATGGCGTGAAGAAAGAAGATTAAAAAAATTGTGTCTCCAATGATTAATGTTAAACATGGTTTAATTTGACATGTGTAAATTTATAATTGGTTGAAAAAAAAAATTATAATATATAATAAAAGTTGTCTAGAAGTACTTTTCTAGAAAGACTTCTAAAATTTTTTTGGCCACATAAGATTTTTTGTGTCATGTGACAATAAAATGGGACAATCCAAATATAATTGGAGATGATCTAAGAATATCAAAATACATAAATTCATCTAACAAATATATAAGTCAAAAACTATAAATATATATGCGACTAAACTAACATAAAAACAAATAAACTAACATAAAAACATATAATATGCACAAGTGCTCGAGCTACCACATGGAGAAGCATTCGGGCTTAATGGGAGCTAGGATGCAGGCATACAGGAACTGCTGGTCGTGAGCGAGTGTTGGGCTGTCGATACCCAATGATGACCGTGAGTGTTGGGTATTAAAATTTCCACTAATAATAAGTTAAATCATTTATTTTTTTAATTAAATATTCTATAAAAGTATTTTTCCAATAATTTTATTTAGGGCATATTTAATAGGAGGTTTTCATAAAATTTTCATAAGGTTTAAAATGTTGATGCTCACAGGTTTTCCACTAGAAAGCATAGCATTGAGGTTTGAAAATTCAATACCGGTTTGAAAAAGAAAACCTCTACTTTATTAAAAAAAATAAAAAATTAAAATTTACTCACTCACACACTAACACGTGTTGGTGGAATTGTCCCACCCAACTTTTGCTTTTTTCCTTTTTATGTATTATGTATTCATTTTCTTTATTTTTTAATATATTAGTTTCTTTTATTTTGATGTTTTATATTTCTTTTTTTAATTTATGGGTTAATTTTTTATATTGACTAGTTATATATATGCAAAATTTTATTGTTGTCCTCATTAATTATTTTGAGTTCACTTATTAATTGAGAAACTATAAATATAAATAAAATTTGTATTTAAAATTAAGAAATATAGTTTTATAGTGAATCATTATTTAATATATCCATAATTATAATTGATGTAATATGTATGTATTTATGATAAATATGTGAAACATTTAGATTATATAAAAATAAAATTGAAGTTATAGTTTTAAAATATTAATTAAAAACAAGAGTGTAATATTAATTATAAAAATAAGTGGGAAACATGTGAGACCCATAGAAAAGAGGTTTATGAGATTTGTTATTATTGGAGGTTTATATGTATAGGAGTAAGAGTGAGGTTTTGGATGATGTGGCATATTGAGAATAAATAAAGGAGGTTTGTGTGGGACAGTAGGAGGGTTATTAAAGATGCTCTTATATATACATATAACTTAAAATAAATTAGTATATATTTTTGTTCAAAAATTAAGACAAATCAACTTGATTAGACTAGATGACACATACATATATGTTTGATGGTGACTATCGAAAAAGAGAACTAAATAATAAAAATAAATTTCCATGCTGGGCAGGATACTAATATGAGTATGAAATAACAGACCGTAATTGAGGGTAACAAAGTAGTATATGATAGAGACCATTGCCATGAATACCGAAACAATTTCTCCTTTCAAAGACAAAGTGATGGACCAGCAAACCCATGGATTCTCCATTGTTGAAATGAACAGGCCTCAACATAGACAACGCACATTAAATCAATCTAAAACCTTTTTTTTTTTTTTTTTTTTTTTTTTTNTTTTTTTTTTTTTTTTTTTTTTTTTATTATTATTTATTGTTACCCTTTTTGGGCCCTTGAAGTTTTGTGGTAGGTTGCATGAAATGGGTTGGTGGAGGCGTGGATGACAACCTTGTGGAGTTAGTTGTGTAAGAACACATGAAGCCTACCAAATCTTGCCGTTGCTTGTGATTTTTAATTGAGATTATTTTTTAAATTTGTGATTGTTAACACAATTTTTTGCTAAATATATTATCACTTGATTTATTACTTTAATCATCTCATAAAAAAATAGCAATACTTATCCAGTTATCTGGAAAATCTGCCAGAGCTCGGTTTTGATTGGGCACATTGCTTGGGTTGGATCAATGAAGCCAGTGGCAGTAGAATAAATGAATAATATATATATTGGATCGCTACCTAATAATATATATTATGCTAATTGCAATTTCGCCTAAAAAATTTCAGTTCAACCTCAAAGCCACCACGTCACTTTTTGAATATTTCACTTCGTCAAAAAAACCATCGCCTTCTCTTCTGTTCTCATCAAATCATCTCTTTTTAAATAAATCTCTCTTCCACCTTTCCTGACCCCAACACTTTCCCGATGGCCGCCGAAACCCTTGAAAACCCGATGGCAGCCGCCGTAATTGAGCGCTGCCGGATCCAGCCGTCGCCGGACACGGTGGCGGAGCTGACCCTTCCCCTCCTCCACTTCGACATCGCCTGGCTCTACTTCCACCCCCTCAACCGCCTCCTCTTCTTCGATTTCCCCTGCACCAAATCCCATTTCCTTGATACCGTCGTCCCCAACCTCAAACTGTCCCTTCTCACCACCCTCAACCACTTCCTCCCCCTCGCCGGCAACATAGTCCACCCCGTTGACTCCGGCCGGCCGTTCTCCCGGTTCGTCGTCGGGGACTCCGTCTCGCTCACCGTCGCCGAGTGCCACAAAGACTTCCGCCACCTCACCGGCAACCACCCCCGGTCCTGCGACGAGTTCTACGCCTGCGTCCCCCAGCTCCCGCCAGCGAGGCACGCGCCGGACGCCGTCATCTTCCCCGTCCTCGCGCTCCAGGTGACCCTGTTCCCCGACCGCGGCGTCTGCCTCGGGTTCACTAACCACCATGCCATCGGCGACGCCAGCACCATCGTCCGGTTCATCAAGGCCTGGGCCTCCGTCAACCGGTTCGGCGGCGATTCTCGGCTGATCGACGAGAAATCGCTCCCGTTCTTCGACCGGACCGCCGTGGAGGATCCGGACGGTCTGGATTCTATCTATTGGGAACAGATGAAGAGATCCAAACCCCCCGACTCCTGGCCGTACAAATTCCCCATGAATAAGGTCCGCGCGACCTTCGTCGTGCGGCGGGACGACGTCGAGAAGCTCAAGGGGTTCCTCCTGACCAGGAGGCCGGAGATGCACATCACGGCGTTCACGGTCACCTGCGCCCTGGTCTGGGTGTGCCTCGTCAAGGCGGAGGCCAGGTCCGTGGCGGACGACGAGCCGGAGTACTTCGGCTTCGCCGCCGACTGCCGCGGGCGGCTGGATCCGCCGCTCCCCGGGACGTACTTCGGCAATTGCCTTGCGTTCGTCAAGGCCGAATCCACCCACGGCCTGCTCCGGGGCAAGGAGGGTTTCCTAATCGCGGCGGAGAGCCTAGGGTTAGCGATACAGAGGACGGTGTACAGCGAGAAGGGGATTTTGGACGGGGCAGAGGATTGGCCGATGGAGTTCCGTAAATTGACAAGGAAGCGGCTGTTCGGGGTGGCGGGGTCGCCGCGGTTCGATCTGTACGACGCCGACTACGGCTGGGGACGGCCGAGGAAGTTCGAGTCGCCGTCGATCGATCGGGAGACGTCGATGTCTCTGTGTAAATCTAGGGATTACGAGGGCGGGCTGGAGTTCTGCCTGTCGAGGCCCAAGAAGAAATTGGACGCGTTCGCGGCTGTTTTTATGCAGACGCTTAGGAATCTGTAGATTTTGTTCTCTCGAACTTGTAATCTGTTACTTTGCGACTTCCAGCAACGAAGGTGGAATTTTGCGCCGGCGGGGTAAAATTGGAAGATTTGTCTCAGGTAAAAATGTTCGGTAGTTACTGATTTACCGTACTGTTTGGATACAGGATTGAGATTTCCAGTTTCCTCAATTTTTTCACTGATTTGTTTCATTGGATTTAATGTATGACACTTGTACTGTTGTACAGCTGCGAATTTTGTGCTGGTTAGATTTTTTTGGTTTGTATTATTATCCTGTGTGACAGGATATTTGAATGTGACTGATTAGTGATTACTATTCGTGCTTTGCTATATTTGGCAGTTGTTTTAGAAAAGTTATGCCTCTATCCTTGATTTTGTTTTTGTATACAGTTCATTTTTTGCCAAATCAATACTAGTAATTAAGAAGATGTGTATTATTTGCATGTGCTCGTTTGGGAGCAGTCCTTAATAAAATCCAACCACAGACAGTACATATAGTTTTGGTAAGGGTTAATTGCCAAAAAAATCACAACATTTTGCTTAATTGCAAATAAAGCTCAATCTTTTAAATTTTGTAAGAAAAATACAAACTTTTATTAAGTATTGCATAATTGTCTCAAAACTAAATTCCGGCGAAGGGGTGCTGACATGGCAGTCGGAAAAATGATGTGGAACCAAATCACTTTTTTCTTTTATTTTTCCTTTTTCTTTTCCCTTCTTTTCTTTCCTTTTCCCGTCACTTTCTTTCTTCTTCTCCAGACCCCCAATTCTCTCCTCTTCCCAAATTCTTCTTTTTCCTTTCTCAGATTCTCGAATTCCATTCCTTTTCTCCACTCCATCTCCGCAGCATCATGAGGATAACGTTCCGATTTTACCAGTGGGGGAGTATTACTCCGTCCCCATCCATGAAGTACCAGCAATAGTTCGAACAGATGACCTTGAAAGAACCAATTGGCTCCTATCCAGAGTGAATGGTACAAGTTTTCTTTCCTCGCTCAGAGCTCCCGACAACCGTCATCGGCGGCCAGAGGTGGCGGCCTGAACTGGAAAACCTTGGAGGAGAGCAGAACCAGGCGGCGGCTCAGCGAATCGGCGATGTGCGGCAGCCGCTAGGCTCGGCTTGCGCGTGGTGCGGTGACGAATTGACTTGACGAGAACCGTCGGGATTTGGCGGCGATTCAAAGGTTCAACTCAGCGGGTGGTCGAACCTTGTCGTGGCTGGCCGTCGGGAAAATCAAACAGATCCGGGTAGCCGGTGGCTCGCACACGAACGACCGTCTGATTTACCGGAGGCTCTCGCGTTGACAACAGAAGTAGTGAAATAATACAGAGATCGGTCACAGAACGACCGTCCGATTTACCGAGAATTGAAAAATCTACCTTTTGGAGGCAGCGGCGCGACTGGGGGAGACGAGCCGCGAGACGGCCAGGCGTAGGCGCGGGTAGATATCGGCAGCGTAGGAGATTGCGTCCCGGAGAAGATGATTCGCTGTGCGGATGAACGGATTCAGGGTTCGGATCGGCGGGAAGTAGAGGGTGAGCGGCGCCGCCGAGAAAGCCACCGTGAGAAAAAGCTCCAGCATCGATGTTAGATGTAGGGTTAGATTTCTTTGTTTTTAACCGCCAGGAATTTCTTCTCCATTTCTTCTCCGTGAATGCGCTGTTCTTTTTTTGTTGCATCGGTTCTTTTTCTTGTCCAGCATGAATAAAGACCTTTTTGTTTTGGTTTGCTGTTCTNGGAAGAATAGATGATGGGGGTGTGATGTGGAGGTTCAGACACACGTGGCACTGACTATTAAATTTTGAGTGCCATGTCACTTTTCCGAGCGGACACGTCAGCCTGCCTTAGCCGGAATCAATTTTGAGACAAAATTGCAATGTTTAATAAAAGTTTGGATTTTATTGCAAAATTGAAAAAGTTAAATTTTATTTGTAATTTAACAAAAAGTTGTGATTTTTTTGGCAATTAACCCTTTTGGTAAATTAGATACTTGGCCTATTTGGTCATCTGAATGAAAAATTCCAATGAACTAATGGATGGTGGATGAGTTTTATTGTGTTGATTAAATTAGATCCGTATTTGATAATCATTATTGACAATTTGGATAAAAAATATTCTTTAATTCTAAAAAAAAAATCAGATAATCTTAAAAAAAAAGGAAAATAAGAAAACGAAATGAAGAATATTTGAAATGCAGTAAAACAGAACAAGAAAAAGTTCCATGGTAGGCATCCCAATTCCCAACACTGGTGCATTTTTTTCTTATGTGTTCGTCCTAGTTCGCACCAAGTTCTTGGTCTTGCTTAAAGGCAAATGAATTTTTTTGCTTAAGGTAATATTCTACTTGAACCTCAATTTGTGTATCTCGTGTAAAATACCTTTAAAAAAAAATGTCCCGATAAGCAAACACATAATTGAGATGGGATAAATCAATTTATCCTATCCAGTCCTCTGAAGCAAATGAGGCCGTATCAACATCCATTGTGAGAAACCCAAGTAAATCTGCATTTCTACCTATGAGCAGTGTTCACATAATCAATTCACAAGTTATGGGCGCACGAATGGGATATATAAGTTCAGCTATTGTTCTTACCCTCGACATCAGGTCAAATTTATCGTTCACTAATTAGTTTAATTATATCTATATTTGATTATGATTACTAAATGTACTTTTTCTCCAATAAAGTATCTTACAAGTTTGTGAGGGTCAGAAAATTGACTATTGTGCATAACATGTTTGTGCCACATAAGAGCCATGTAGGCAGATGACTTCGTAAGAAAAAAATCATCGAGGGCTCTATAAAAAAATCGGAGTAGAGCATCCTTAATATGGAGGGTTTTTAAGGTTTGTAAATCTGAAACTGAAAGGTTTACCATTAAAATGTATAGGTTTGAGGTTTGAAAGAATAAACCCAATTAGTAATCACAAACCTCCTCAAAAGCTATGAGATAAAAAAAAAATTAAAAATTAAGATAAAGGAAAAGAAAAGTGTAGTATGCATCTTAACTCTCTCATTTCAAATGCAATTGAATTGGTCATATTCTGTGTGTGACACGCGACAAAAAAGCATCTTAACTCTCTCATTTCAAATGCAATTGGTAATACTCTGTATGTGACGCGACAAAAAGGCATAAAAGCGTTAGAGAGATGTGTTCCCATATGACTCGTCTGCAAACATTTTTTACATGTGTATATAAATCCTCATGATTAAGTTATGTGTATATAGATATCGTTTACATATTCTCGTGCATCGCACGGTTATCAATACTAGTTACTCCCTCTGTTTTATTTTTTTTGTCATTCTAGTTTGAAAGAACTAATTACGGAATCAATGGAATTAGTTATCTAAATCTCTTAAATTTTATTTAAATATTTTTTTAATAATTTCTCTATGCTGTCATGGTGTGGTTAGAATGAATTATAAGAGTATTAGATAAAGATAAGTGAAAGAAACAAGAAAAAAAAAAAACAAAAAACAAAAAACTAACCTACGGATTTTTAGGAGTTGAGATATTAGTTATAAAATTAATTAGTTCAAGATTATCTAAAATGGCAATTAATAAGCAAAAACAAAGACACTAAAACGACATGTATTGCAAAACGGAGGAAGTATAAATTATGTATATATAATATTAAAATAATAATATTACATTTTTATAATTTTATCTTTATTAAAATAAAAAGTAAAAAAAAAATATTTAACTTCATATAAATCATTATATTGATTGTATAAAAATATAAGTAGGATATTAATCGAAAGGAAACCAAATGGCATTAATTGATTAATTAGTTGGTAATTAGTCAACTGTCATAACTGACATCCCTCCAATCGGGATCTGTACTGTTTCATCTTTGTGAAACTCGCCATTTCGCATTTCTTACTTTTCATTTTCTGCCTAATAAATAAACAAAATTACTCTAATCCGATAATAATTTGTCCTTCACTGTCACTGGCGCTATGCCCGTTCACTCATATCATATGCTGTCGCCACTATCTGATCGATCCGAATTTCGCCGCAGCTCAAGGTGACAAAAATCAGTTTTCGATCGCTTTTTGCCCTTTTTCCTTGTGATTTTTTTTTTTCCGAATTTAATTAAAAGTTTCTTAAGAAGCAAATTATTGTTGCGTTGACCGATTAGTGGCATGATGTTCCTGTTTCTGGGTTTGAACCGCCAATCTTTAGAGCGTTGAGGGTGAGAGAGGTTTCAGTTATGGCGATTTTATGAATACTGATCTTTTTGGTGTTAGCTAGACCATTTGCTGTCAGCTTATAATTTGGATAATTGCTGTGCTGTCATCTTATTTTTGCTGTTTCAGACAAAAATTAGCAAAATCTGCTTTGAGCCAGTAACTAGGTAAGAAGAATTAAGGTGTGTTAATGGAATCCTCAGGTGCTCATCTTCTTCTTCTTCCGACAAGCTATTTGCTGAATTTTGTGTCCAAGTTAGTGTTTTGAATTTATATGCTTGAGAAAAAGCACTAGATTTGTAGCTCAAGTGGCATTGCTCATCCTTAGTAAAGTGTTGATTGATGTTGAAAAATAAAACCAAGTATTTCGATTTCTTACTCCTTCCCACATCGAGTGGTCCAACTCATCAAAATATATAATATATGGTACAGTTGAACTTAAATCCTTTGTTGTTTCCAATTCCTGTGGCAGTTGTTGACTTCAGGAAAAAATGACAACTACTGATCCTGGTTCTGAGGACTTTGTAAAGCAATTTCATATTCCTAGCTATATACTTGAGCCCGACTCAAAGGTCGAATGCTCGCCATTGAAACCTCAATGTCCTGTTTTGGTTTTTATCAACTCAAAAAGTGGTGGTCAGTTGGGTGGAGATCTTCTCGTCACGTACCGATCCTTGCTGAACGAAAAACAGGTAAAATCAACTGCAATTCCGGTTTCCTTTTTCTTTATTTTTTTTTTTATTTGTTACGCAAATTATGGATATTGTAAACTTTAAGTCTATCCTCAATTATCTCTGGCTTAGATTGTGTTATAGACACCTTCCATTCACACACGCTGATATTGCAAATATCAGGTCATTGATTTAGGAGAAGATGCTCCTGATGCTGTACTTCGTAGGCTTTTTCTCAATCTCGAAAGGCTCAAAAATAATGGTGATGATATTGCTTCTGAGCTTGAGCAGAAGTTGAAAATAATCGTGAGTTGAAAAATGGAAGATTGTGCAGAGGGTTCTAAGTTTTATGTTTACTGATTTTGAAAATAGACTGCGTGTGAAATATCTGATATTCATGCCCTCTCATAGGTTGCTGGTGGAGATGGTACAGCTGGATGGCTTCTTGGGGTGGTTTCTGATCTAAAATTATCTCAGCCGCCACCAATTGCTACTGTGCCTTTGGGAACTGGGAATAATCTACCATTCGCATTCGGTTGGGTATGAGAAAAAAGTATAATTTTTGAGGTTCTGGAGTTAATGCTACTGAACTGGAATTTGTATAAACCTCTTGAAATGGAAATTCATGAGGTGTAGACATTACATATAGTGGTTTTTTTTTCAAATATCTGCCCGTCGCGCTTTTTTTAATATATTTAGCCTATTATGTAGTGAGTTTTTGATATGGCTCATAACAGTAATATGTTTGATTAGGTATGTCCGCTTTGCAATCAAATCTAGTAAATGACAAGAAGATTTATGCACTATTTAATTTCAGGGCAAGAAAAATCCTGGAACTGATCGTGATTCAGTAATATCATTCTTGGATAAAGTGCAGAAAGCTAAAGAAATGAAGATAGACAGGTAACTTTCACTTAACATCTGAATTTCTTTCATTCTCTTCAGTTAATATGATTTTTCGAAACTTGTGTTGGAATATCACTTGTGAGATGTCCCACATTGATTCTATAGGGAAAATGAGTCTAGTATATAAGCCTAGTGGGCTACTCCTCCCATCATCAATTGGTTTTGGGATAAAACCCACTATGGTGCACCTAGGCTCACCCTCTTATGGTGCGTTTCATTTGGTGGGACCGCACTCTCTTCCCCCGATTCTATAAATCCAATAACTTGCACCACCTGAAAATGATTTCTGTGCAGAGTTTTCATAGCTTATGAAACTTGACTGCAAAAGTGTAGAAGAAGAACTATCAATTGCACATTACTTAATAAAATATGATAAACCTGACCCCTTCTCATTTCCAATGCCTCAGTTTTACATAGTCACGCTTTCTGAAAATATTGAAATATAAAGAGGTCCCTCTTTAACTATATATTTGCATAATCAAATTTCGTACATTTTAGTTTCAACTTCTTTTGAACAATGTCCTTTTCACAACTTACCAGTGTGCTTTCACTTAGTGATGTGTTTGTTATCTTGATCTTCTACAAAAAGTAGGTTAATCTGAGTAACCTGCTTGAAACTTTTACAAAAGAAAGTATGTACTTTTATTCTTTTTTTTTTTTTTTTGTTTTTTTTTTTNTGTCCACAGTACTACTCCAGAAAGTTTCATGCACCTGGACATGTGTGTTGCCCATTGTTAATGAATAACTTTCTCATCTTGAAATCCTCTACAATTTCATTCCTTCCCTGAGAACACTTCAGCTAAATCTTGAAAAATTCATCGTTCTGATATTTCCTTGAGAACACTTAAGTGTCCTCTTGTCTCTATCTCCTAACCAATGACCATGCTCATCTAGAAGTGGATGGTATTATAATTACACACTACGAGTCTGTTATTTTAATTGCGTCCTTAGATTATTTTCAGAACCTGATGTTCAACGATGATATGAGCAACTAGAATTTACTATCTTTGAGTTTATAGAATATTTTTTCTCTCCTGAAGGCTCTAAAGATATTTCATAATTGTCCAGTTGGCATATTCTCATGCGTATGAGGGCACCAAAAAACGGTTCTTGTGATCCAATTGCTCCTCTTGAGTTACCGCATTCATTGCATGCATTTCGTCGGTGTTCTTCATCAGATGATCTCAATGTGGTGAGAAGGCATTCCTTGCCCTTAGATCAACTAGTTTTTTTGGGATTCTCTTGATCTTTGTATTTTCTTATTCTAATGTACACGAGACTCAAATTACAAAGCAATGTTGTCATTGTTTTTACTCTGTCAACAATTAAACTCGGAGTACTATAAATTAATGAGGATACTTGTGAGATATGCTTGGTTGTTCTTTACCCCAGTTTCCTATTGCGGTTCTTTCCTTTTCCTTTTCTAAGATACTATTCTAAACTTTGAATAAACTGTATCTAATGACTCACTTGTTGCCATGAAAACTTTTTCAGGAAGGCTGCATCACATTCCGTGGAGGATTTTGGAATTACTTCAGCATGGGTCAGTGAACTGTTGCATATTGAAATCTTATATTTCAAATTTTACATTGAAACCTTTGTACTCAGTCTCACATGTGATTTTGTGAATACGTTTCCATACTGAACATTATTAAGTTTGAATTAGCTTTGAAGGCTGGTGTCTATATTGAGTATTGACATAAAGCTTATCACTATTGGATGCTGTAAATAGTTTCTTAATGCACCCAGATCCAGCAGATATTGTTAAAGAAATAATAACCACTTTGTACAGTTTTACTTGTTACCATCCAACCGGAAACTGCCATTCAATAGTTGTTACTCGTAAAACCTATCAATTCTTGGGTATTCAGGCATGGATGCACAGGTTTCCTATGCCTTTCACTCTGAGCGAAAGTTGCACCCAGAAAAATTCAAGAACCAGCTCATTAATCAGGTATTCCCTCTGCCTCACAAAGATGACTAATGACAATATATACACACGGTTTAAGAAGACTCAAATTCTGTTGTTGGAAAATGCAAAATACTGAATTAATTTTTATCTCATTCCATGACTCTAATCTACTGGCTGTTTCATTAATGAAATAATCTACATCAAGTAACATGAATATCTTTTGGGACACCTTAAATAAAAATGTCAACTATCATTTTGGGACAGCAGGGGTGTAATGATAGCATTTATATACAACAGCTGCATTTCCTGAAAACAATCATGATTCCTTTTCTCATCAAGAATGAAATCGTAAATGGTATCTTTTGACAAAAACTAGATGAATGAGAACTATCTTTTGCAACTCCACGAAATAAAAGTTTACAGTCACGCTCCATAAGTTCTACATGTTTTGAAATATGCTATACATAGCAACTATAGGTATTTCTGAGTGCATATGGAAATTTTCCTATAAGTGAGTCCTGTGCTTTCTTCACTTTGATATTATAAACTGCTGTTTATAGTCTCGTTGAAGCTTTTATACCACCGGCATAAAATTTTCCGATAAAGTAAAGAGATATGTTCTGTCTTAGAGCACATATGCAAAACTTGGCTGCTCGCAAGGATGGTTTTTTGCTTCCCTCTTTCACCCTTCTTCGAGGTTAGTTTCTATGCTTCATACAACAAGTGCAACTTAACTTCCAAGCTAAAGAAAGGAGTGCTGCAGTTGTTTTACCCATTATCTTCAAGTAAAACATATCTATCTACACCTGTTCTAACACGAACTTACTTGCACAAATTACTTGTCGTGCTACTTGATATACAATTTCTATCCAGTGTCTGGATGAACCAGAAAATATTGAGCAACATAATTTGTCTTTCTATAATTTCTATCCGCTGTACTTATTTGACCTTGTGAGTGTATCACCCAAAGTTGTGGCTGAACTGAGGTTTTCTTTTTACTGATACCGACTAATTTTGGTCCAGGAACATTGCTCAGCTTTCAAAGGTTAAGATCATGAAAAGACATGGTGATTGGCAAGACCTCCATATTCCTCACAGGTTGACTTATTTTCCATACAGAAAGTCAAATTTTGTGTGACCTTCTCCTTACGGTCTTCATATAAAACATTACTACAAGGTTAGAAAAAAACACAATGAAATGTTGAGGTCACAGAAACATACTGGGGTGGTTCCAATTGGCCATATAGATTTTATATTTATTTATTTTATTTCTGGTTATTTCCAAGGGTAATAAATGGTTCTCTTTTTTCCTGAAAGCAAATTTTAGCCATTCCAAGTATCAAATAAGACAAAGCTAAACCAAGCAAATGGCTAATGCATGTAGATACTAGATGCAAAATTCTACTTATATTAAATTCTCGTATTTAACAATGCCTTGCACAATTTTCTATATACTATATTCATAATTTATCTTCATAAAACTCCTTTGCAGCACAGTAATATCAGATTATGTCCCACAGTTTGTTTCTTTATCCTGACTGAGTAAAATATTTTGTATCTTGGCTTTCTTGTTCTGTGATCACCTTAGCAATCTACAACATGAAACAGTTATCAATTAAAGGTTAAGAGCTGACTTTGATACTTTTTTACTTCCAAAAGATTATTCAGATGTTTTAATTATTTCAAGATAGCATGCTAATCTCTCTTATTTTCCTGATATACAGCATCAGGTCAATTGTATGCCTTAATTTGCCGAGCTTTTCCGGTGGACTCAATCCTTGGGGAACTCCAAACATTCACAAACGTCGTGATGTCAGTACTCACCAGAAACATATTTTTCTCATCACCCCTTTATATATATATTTTGTTTCTTTTCCTTTTCCCTTGTCCCCATTTATTTTTATTTTTTAAAGATCGGAGCTAAAATCTTGATCTTTCGAATTTGTCATTATATTTCTTGGTCCAACTTATCCCATAGAGAGACTTGACTCCACCATTAGTAGATGATGGTCTGCTCGAAATTGTTGGCTTTCGAGATGCTTGGCATGGACTGGTTTTACTTGCTCCGAATGGACATGGGACTCGTCTTGCACAGGTTTTGACCCTTATTCTGGATCACAATTCTAAATCTGATCAGATTGCACAATTTCAATAATCTTCCATCATATTTTGTATCCAAAAGAGATATCTAATTTTACTATTGTGAGCTTTATGATTCTTTTATTATCAATTGAAAAAATNTACTAGCACATGGTACATATAGGAAATACAGTACGAGAATGATATCTAAATTGCTAGCACTCTTCACTTGGGACCAGTAGGTGTTGAGTTCGAAGTCACACATAACAAAAATATCCTAGTTCACGGACTTAACTCAATTTACCTAAAAGTTTCTCCATTATTTATTGAAAAAATACATCTACCTAATCGTTAGGTCTGTCTAACTGCAGTCTTACTGGTTGATAACTATAGCCTTTCTTTGATTTTATTCAAAATGTCTTAAATGTTGGTCAGAATTAACACGACTCAGTCAATTTTAACTACCTATGCAGATTGACAACAATTGCAACGTTCGATCATTTTTTTTGACTTGTCGTGTGTAGGCACACCGTATTCGGTTCGAGTTTCATAAGGGTGCTGCGGACCACACGTACATGAGGATCGACGGCGAACCCTGGAAACAGCCTCTCCCGGTCGATGATGAAACAGTTGTGGTTGAAATCTCTCATCTTGGACAAGTCAAGATGCTTGCTACTCACGACTGTCGATCTAAAAGCGTGCTCGATCCTTCATCTCCAATCGTTCACGATGTCGATGAAAGGGATAGTGACAATGAGGACGAGTCTGTTGGGGAAGAGTGGAGAAAGTTTGGTGCGGCCGACACGTTCAAGCTTCCGGACGAGGTTGACATTTCCCATCTCAGTTGACTTTTGTCGTGGCTGATTTCCGGTACCGTGCTTTTTAAAGGTTGAATTATAAGTGTGGCTTTGTTAATTTCTCTATAAATCTCTCCCATGGAAGAACTTTCTTAGGTTGCACATGTGGATATGGAGAACATCAAATAAGATTATATAGATAGTAAGATTTGATGCAGATCTAATCATTTAGCGAGTCGACTCGTCATATTATTGAATAAACATAGACATAGGTACTTATAGATGTCATACTTAGTTTACATTGTTTTAAAAGTAATGTCATTTGATCATATAAGTATGCAAAATTATTCAAAAAGCATATCAACCTAATTCAAAGTTACTATTCAAAAAGTATATAAACCTAATCGCAGGGTTACTTGATAGATTATAACTTCAAAAGAACTCGAATAAATAGAAAAAAATTTGTTGCAAAGTTGGAAATCGAATTCCTTTTACATTTATGGAACAAGACAAGGCTGCACAATACAGTAACACAGTAAGATCAACCATGGTCTTTGTGCCTAGAATCCAATGCATACATAATGAGAAATATTAAATAATAAAATTATGAACAAAAAATATTGTAATGTTCTTCAGAGGAGAGCCGCTCACATATGTGCATCACCAGGGCCGGCCCTGACATTTTTGGGGCCCATGGAGAAAATTGGGTAAGGGCCTCTTTCTTCAACACATACATTTAATTACAGTGAAAAATAATAATAGACAAACACATAAAAAAAAAAGAGCCTGAAAATCAAACAATGAAAATAAAACACCAAAATTATAAAATATAATCGAGAAATATAACCTGATTTATGCATTGGATAATGATCTTCAAACCCAAAAAATCCTAATAATTGTAGTAGGTCTCTCGGTTGGGTGTTTCACTTTCGCGAATAAATAGAAGAATCAATTGAAGACTAAAAAGAAAGGCTTAATCGTCGAAATAGTTGCTCCAAATTGTTTATCCGCTACACTCAAAAATTTTTCCGCCCGTTAGAAAGTACAACTTGGAAATAGACGTAAGTAAAAAAGAAAAGCAAAGCACGGTGCTATAAAGATGGTGAGAAGTATAGTGCACAATGGTGTTTACGAGACGGAAATTATATTACTCTTCCTTCCCAAGTATCCTTGTCGTCATCTTAGCCTACCACCTTTATACTTTTTTTTTTTTCTTTCCCTATCATCTTTATCTGAGCGTGGGAAGTTGTGTGGAAATGTTGGATGAGGAATATTGATGGAAAAATTATTTTGATATTCTCTCCACTTGCCTTTTCCGTTGCTTCCAATTCCAAAAGAAAAATTGACTTTGATTTTTTTTTATTGCTTATGATTATTTTCTTATATGTGTTTGGGCTTGGGCCAATAAAAGCTAATTTTTTTGTAGGTTTTTTAATTGGTAGAAAAATTCACTAACAAAAATCCATACACATATATATAATGTAGATATAAATTTGGGGCCCCAAATATTTGGGGGCCCATGGCCAATGCCCACTTTGACATTAGTCAGGG